GGCTGTGACGGGGCTGCTCCCTCCCCAGCCCCGGAGCTGCCGACGGGGAATCGAAGAGGGTGCGTAAAAAAGGAGGCTGCGTTTGTGCTGGGCCGCAGTTTAGCGTCTTGGAGGAAACGAACAGGCTTGGTATGTGAGTAAATACTAACTGGCGCTTTTCCTCGTCTCCTCGTGTCCAGGTTATCGATGCCACTTCATTGGGTTGGGGCACCAGAGTGAAAGGCTTCATTGCTTGCTTTGCAATAGGATGCCTGTGCTCGCTCTTGGTAAGGACTTTTTGCTAGATCTCCCTGATACTCGAGTTGCAGGAACCTAAATAATTACAGCCTTGCTGTACGCAGCTGTATGCTTGCTTTTTTTTTTTTTTTCTTCCTGGGAAGACACCTGACTCGGTTCCAGTTGGATGCAGTGACTCACTCTTAATAACAGTGCCACTAAATGCACTTTCTTGTGTGAGTGTGTGATTCTGGAATTTGGGGTTATGTTTTCCCAAAACTTTTTTTCCTTTTTTTTATTGTGACATGTCTTGAATGTATTTATTTCACAATTTAATACCAGTATTAATACCCCTGCCCCTCTCTCTAAATGCTCCTTTTCAGGGTAGTTGCCTGCTGTGGGTACCAAGAAAAGGGCTGTCACTCTTTGCAGTGTTTTATACGCTGGGGAATATTGCATCTATTGGGAGGTAAGAGTCTTTGGGTATTAGGTCCCTAATAAAGGTGAGAAAATAAAGCAGAATGATAGGTGCAGGTGTGTAAGTGATAAGAACTGTTGCATTTGTGTGAGATGATTTATCTATGTAGACAATTTTTTTTGTGGCCAAATTGTGAATAACAGCATTTCCTTGTAGTGCCCTGAAATGCTGAAGAAATTTTTTGTTTATTGTTTCTAGCAATGCATTCAAGGTTAAAGTTACTTATCAGTAAAGAAGAATCAAACTCATGCTTTGAGCACTGAGGTGGTTTTATTTTGGTGGTTCCCTCGCCCCCCAAGATAAAAATAATTCTTTGCCATTTTGTATTTGGTACTGTTTCCTGTGTTTTGGTGAATATGTTTGGGGCAGCCTGTCTGTCGGGGTAGACCTGTTTGAAAAGCCTTAATGGCCACTGAGGTTTCTGAAGCATAATCCCACTGACTTGGTGACAGACGCAGCCTTCCGTGATTGAGAAAACTTAACAAGACATTAGAAAGTACAAGGAATGGAATTGGAAGTAACGTAATAATGAGGCAGAAGTATCAGCCTAAATAAAACTTTTGCCTTGCATCATTCATGCAGAATCAATCATCACTGTGGCTTTAAATGAGAGCTGCATATCTGGTGAGGGATCAGATAATGGATCCAGGCCTGAAAACAGCCCTTTATGTAGAAGAATTGAGCTGGATTACCTGGCATTCTGTGCAGAGCCTCTGTGGCTGGTGTTTTTGAAGAGCAGGTTAAAAAAGCATCTGTCAAGAACCATCTAATTGAAGCTGACCTTGACCTATACTTCTAGCTTGATAGTTCTCTGCTTATGTTAATTGAAACTGAAGAAGTGTCAATAAATTTATAGAATAAATACCTTGCACAAAAAAAAAAAAAAAAACAGGAAAGGATTTTTTTCCACTTGGGTTTTTT